TATCAAGAGAGATAATACCCAAACCACATAGAGTTTTCAATTTTAGTGAAGAAATGTTCGAAGAAAACAACACTATTCGACCTATTTTAAAAAATGAAGAAACAGCATTTCGAGATAGAATAAAAACTTATATTATTAAAAATAATATAGGTATTAAAGATATACAACCATTTTTAAATCGTTTAGATAATCCAGTAATAGGACGACTTAAACACGAATTAAAAAAAACAAATTTAAAAGTTAATATTATGTTTCTTGCTATATATAAGAGAGGTAATAATGAAGAAAATATGGAATATGAGGAAAAAAATTTTAAAACACAAAATAAAATTTTAACAAAAAATTCTAACTTAAATGAATTTTATACAAATGCAAAAATAAAAATTGTAAAAGAAGAAGAAGATTTTATAATGAAAGATTCACAATGGAGACTTCATCAAATTTTAAGTTTGGGAATAAATATAAATAAATATGTTCCTTTTAAGGGTTCTTCATATATTCCATTACCTAAACACATTGGAGATAAACATGCTATTATAAATGTTAAAAATGAAGATGATAAATGTTTTCTTTGGGCAATACTCTCTGCTTTACACCCTGTTGAAAAAGATGGACAAAGAGTAACTAAATATATTCCTTTTAAAAATGAATTTGATAAAGAATTTAAAGATATTGAATTTCCGGTAAAAACCACAGACGTTCAGAAATTTGTTAAAAGAACAAAAGATATTTCTATTAATATTTATTGTTTAGATATAAATGTAATTGTACCTTTACAAGTAAGTAATATCGAAAAAACTAATCATATAGATTTATTATATTTAACAGTGGATGATAAGGATACTGATGATGAGGATAATAATATGAATAAAGGACATTATTGTTGGATTAAAGATTTATGGAAACTAGTAGGAAGTCAAGTTACAAAAGATGGTCATAAAAGATTTTTGTGTAAAATGTGTTTAAATAGTTTTGATACAGAAAATAAGTTAAATGATCATAAACATTATTGTGTTAATAATAAAGCTGCTAAAATAGTTCTACCAGAACCTTATGACAAAACTTTAGAATTTAACACTTATAATCATTCCTTAAGAGTCCCTTTTGTGATTTATGCTGACTTTGAATGTACACTTCAACCAATATATACTTGTCAACCAAATAATACAGAGTCTTTTACAAAATGTTATCAGAAACATATACCTAATAATTTTTGTTATTATATTAAATATAGTAATGGTGATTATAAACCTCCTGTAGAATATTCTGGTCCAAACGTAGCTCAAGTATTTTATGATTGTATGAAAGATGAAGAAATACTTATTTCTGAATTATATGATAAAATAGTTCCTATGGAAACATTGAATGCAGAACAATTAAATAATTATAATAAAACTGATAAATGTCATATTTGTGAAAGATGTTTAGATGAATTACCTCCAATGTTAGAGAAAAAAATTAAAATAATTAAAAACATTATTAAGTATTATAAAATACTGATGATGTTAAAAAATTTAAATTGTATGAAGATAAACTTAAAATAATTAAAAACACTATTAAACATTATGAAAATATTGATGATGTTAAAAAATTTAAATTGAATGAAGATAAACTTAAAATAATTAATATCGTTATTGAACATTATGAAAATATTGATGATGTTAAAAAATTAAAATTGTATGACGCTATTGAATATTATGTTAAAAAATTAAAATTGTATGAAGAAAAAAATAAAATTAAAGATGCTATTGAATATTATGAAAATATTGATGTTGTTAAAAATTTTAAATTGTATGAAGATAACCTTAAAATAATTAAAGACAATATTAAACATTATGAAAATATTGATGATGTTAAAAATTTTAAATTGAATGAAGATAAACTTAAAAAAGAATTAGAAAATAAAAATAAAAATATGCGAAAAGTTCGGGATCATGACCATTTAACTGGAGAATATAGAGGTGCAGCACATTCTATCTGTAATCTTAACTACCAAAATCCACGTTTTATTCCAATTGCTTTTCATAATCTTTCAGGTTATGATGCTCATCTATTTATAAAAGAATTTGGAAACGATAATGAAAGAATAAAAATGATCCCAAATAATGAGGAAAAATATATTTCTTTTTCAAAAATGATGTCACGTGAAGTAAATAGGAATGGTAAAGACATAAAAATATATACAGAATTAAGATTTATAGATTCATTCAAATTTTTACCTAGTTCTTTAGAAAAGTTAACAAATAATTTAAGAAATGATTCGAAATTAAATTTAAAAAATAAATTTAAAGAACTTAGTAAATATTTTCCTGAAGAACATTTAGATTTAGTTACTAGAAAGTTAGCATATCCCTATGAGTATATGGATTGTGAAGAAAAATTTAATGACACATGTTTACCTCCTATTGAAAAATTTTATAGTTCTCTCACAGATAAAAATATAACTAAAGAGGAATATAAAAACACACATAAAATTTGGAAAGTGTTTAATATACAAAATATGCGTGAATTCACTAGTTTATATAATAAGATCGATGTTTTATTATTAACAGATATAATAGAAAATTTTAGAGATATTTCTTTAAAAAATTATAAATTAGATCCTATGTGGTATTACACAACACCAGGATTTGCGTGGGATTGCATGTTAAGAATGACAAAAGTAAAATTAGATTTATTAACAGATATAGATCAAATATTGATGTTTGAATCTGGAATCAGAGGTGGCTTATCTCAATGCAGTCAAAGATATTCAAAAGCAAATAATAAATACATGGGAGATAAATTTAAAAAAAAGGAGGAATCAATATTTTTAGAATACTTGGATGCAAATAATCTTTATGGGTGGGCAATGAGTAAATATTTACCTACTGGAGATTTCAAATGGGTTGATAATCTGAATGATTTTGATGTAATGAATATTTCTGATAAATCATGTAAAGGTTATATTTTAGAAGTCGATTTATCTTACCCTAAAGAACTCCATGATCTACATTCAGATTTCCCTTTAGCACCAGAAAGACATTTTGATAACAAACAACTTCCAAAATTATTAACAACTTTGTATGATAAGAAAAAATATATAATACATTATGAAACACTAAAATTATATATTAATTTAGGTTTAAAGATAGAGAAAATTCATAGAGTATTAGAATTTAGTCAATCTCCTTGGTTAAAAGTTTATATTGATTTTAATACTAATCTTAGATCAGAAGCTAAGAATGAGTTTGAAAAAGAATTTTTCAAATTAATGAATAATAGTGTTTATGGACGTACTATGATGAATGTTCGAAATCATGTTGATATAAGATTATGTTCTAATGCATACCAACTAGAAAAATTAATTACAAAACCAAATTTTGATCGAAGAACAATTTTTACAGAAAATTTAGCTGCCGTACATATGAAAAGAACACAAATATCTTTCAAACAACCCATATATGTAGGAATGTGTATTTTAGATTTATCTAAAATGTTAATGTATGATTTTTATTATAATATTATAAAGAAAAAATATGGAAATAGAGTTAGATTGTTATACACAGATACAGATTCACTAATATTAGAAATAAAAACTAATGATTTTTATCAAGATATGAAAATTATGTTAGATCATTTTGACACATCAGATTATCCAAAAGATAATATTTATAGTTTACCTTTAGTTAACAAAAAAGTTTTAGGCAAGTTTAAAGATGAGTTAAATGGAAAAATAATGACTGAATTTATAGGTTTAAGATCTAAATTATATTCTCATCGAATCTTAGATACTGAAAAAGAAATTAAAAAAGCTAAATGTGTTAAAAAAATGTTGTAGAAAATAAAATATGTTTTAATGATTTTGAAAAATGTTTACTAACAAAAGAATCAAAATATGTTAAACAAAATTTATTTAGAACTAAGAAACATGATATTTTTACTGTAGAACAAAACAAAAAAGCTTTAAGTGTTTATGATGATAAAAGATTTATTTTGGAAAATGGTATTGATACATTACCCTGTGTGCATAAATCAATCTTATAGATGTCG